TGCTTTATTACTGATGTTGAAACAGGAAAATGAATATTTCAGCTGATTTGTTGTCTTTAATTAATTTTCTTTTCTTTACAGTTTCCCCTAGAGCCCAAAAAATGTAAAAAAAAAACTTCTTCTGTTTTATTTTAATGGTAACTGGTATTATACATGTTACTCTACTTTTCCTGTTATACGTGTTCTAAGGCTTGCCTGCTGGTGATTGGTTGATGCAAAGGCATAGAAGCGTGGTGTTTAGGGGAACTACATGCAGTTTAAGGTCACCGAAGGGTGATGTGTGACCTGGGAATCAATAAAGTAAGGCTAGAGCCTATGGCAGGAGGGCTTTCTACCTCCCCTCCCCCTGCCCTGGGGGAGGGAATGGAGCTACCTTGGGATTTTCAGTAGGAAGGTGGTATTATCAGGCATGGTCTATCACCATCACTCCAGTGGTAGTGGTTTGGAATGGAGGGAGATAGAGTAGAAGCTGGAATGCTAGTCAGAACGTCGCTGCAGTCATCCACCCAGGTTAGAGATGTAAGGATCTCAAGTGGCAGTAAAGAGTGAATGGAGAATATTTAGCAGATGAAATGAGCAGATCCTGGTAATTGATTGAGCTCAGGGATGAGGAGTAATGGATAATGTCCAGGATTCCAACTGGGTAACTGGGTGTATAGCATGACACAAACTGGAATAGAAAATGGTAGAAAAAGGATGTGTTTAAGATTGGACATCCAGAATATGAGAAGCCAATGGAGCAGACACAGAGAACTGCACAACAGGCTGCTGAGTATTCAAGACCAAAGCTGGACAGTGACTGCATAAGTGAGGAGCCAAAGATCACTGCATGAGACAACGAACCACTCAGTTAAGACACCCTGTGCACCTCTAAGGTTCATTCTGTCATGTTGTCCCATTGCATGACATGTATATTTAGCAAAGAGAATTAGTATCACCCAATACTCATGAGACTGGACCAGGCAATTCCAGGTTATTACAAGAAATTTATACTTGAATTACTAATGAGATGAAATTACTGCATTGCACTGCTAGAAGCTGCAGAAAACAACAGTGGCTTTGGGGTAATGTGCTTCTGTCTGAATGGGATGGGTGCATGCATTCTATTTGTTGTATATGCTAGTGAACCTCATCGCAGAGTTAGAACTTAAAAAACTGCTAAGCTGTTGTTAGTTGCCTCTAAGACAAACCTGCTAAAGAAACAAAAGCCACCACTGTTTGGACCCTAGATGTGGAGAAAAGAAAAACTCAAGCGCTTTCTTTTCCCTCTTCTCCTTATCCTTTAAAATTAAAAATATTTCCCCTTCCTTCTTCTTTTTAAAGTAACTACATAATAATTTTGGGTAGCAACATAAAAATTACAAAGTAGGTCAGAATATGGGGAAGTTTTTAATTAAATTGGGGGTTTTGTTTGTTTTTTCATTTATTAAAAAATGTCGGGCCAAAATCCCAATTTCCCTCTACCCCCTTTTTTATATATTCTTACGCATTTGGCAGAGTCTGTGACAAAACCTCACCCCAGCTGTAGACGGGCCAAAAGCCTTTTCTGAAGCTCCTACTAATTTGGATTAAACTGACTGGTTGAAAGAAAGCTTCACACAGAAATTCTTCCAGGAAGTGTCATAAGTTCCCTTGACATTTAATTCTACGAACAATCTTATCTTTTGGAGAGAGATAGACAAATAAAAATTTATTTTTTGATTTTCGCCTTTGTTAGCTTGTTTTCTTTCTTAGTTTTGGAGAAACAGATCAAGAACCTGAAGACAACAGAAGCCTATCTTGCCTCCAGTCTGGCCTTCTGAACCCAAAGAGAGGAGCCTGCATGATGCTAAGTGGGTTCCTAAGGAAAGAAGAGCAAGATGGATGCTCTGTACTGAATAAGGCTTCCAGGGGAAGACATCACATGTGTCAATGAGCTCAGTCCTGCAGCAGGAGGTATCACTCAGTGTATCAGAACCGAGGGCTAGATCTTGTGGCCTATTAAATTCATCTCTGAATAGTTTGTTGCCATTCTCAACAATGAAAAAGACAGCCCCCATCCTCAAAGAGTTTATAGTCCGGGGGCTACAGGTGGTAGTAAACACAGAGGCAAGTAGTCTATTTAGATGGTGGTCAGTCTTTCCAGAGGGTAAGTCCATGGTGAGTAAAAGAGGAGTAATTAGCCACTTCACACAGTATAGGGTATATTCACCATGTGTTTCTGATATTTCAACATGTGGGGCCTTGTGGACCCTGCTCCTTGCAGGGCCAGCCAGTTCCTAGAGACAGTACAGGAGTAGTCTGCAACGTGCCTCTGCTCTGCAAACAAAGCAGCCCAGAGCCCACACACCCAACTCCCACCTCCTCTCTCAGGCTCTTAGGCTCTGGGCCACTATTCCCCTGTCCTAATCACTCAAGATTAGGGTCAGGTACCACTCAAGGGTCAGGTACCAGGCAACCAGGGACAGACCCTACACCCCAGACCCCACTGAAACTATTCAGACTGGCCAATCCCAAGCCTACTGTTCGTTCCTGGGAGAACCCAAATAAAGGCTCTTGCCCACATTTTCCCCTCACTCCCCTCTGCCTCCTGCATGGCAAGGCATGTTCCTCTGTGGGAACTGTGGGAGCAAACTATCTTTTCAGTGGCAATTGTCTTCTGATCTGTCTCAGCCGTGCCTGAACAATTGTAACATCTACATTTCAAAACATAAAGGGTGGGAGAGTTTGGGGTCTAGGAAGGTCTAGAGGATGACATCTACGTGGACTCCTAAAAGAGCAGCAGTGAAGCTGCCAGATGACGTCAGGTGGTGAGGGCAAGAGGGGGATTCCAGGCAGAGGAATCAGCATCTGGAAAAGCACACTTGGAAAACAGTTTAAGTAGTTCATATGTCTGGAGCTACACTAAATGTGCTGGATGAAGAGAAGACATGAAGCTGGAGAGGAAATGATGGCCAGATCATAAAGGACTTACATGCCTTGCTACAGAGTCTGGGCTCAAACTGGGAGAAGCTCCCTCTCTACAAGGATCATTCCCTTCTGCTGTTGTCAAGGCTCTTTAGGAAGTTTTAGCTTCTTACAAAATGGCGCCCTGTGGCCAAGGTGCTTGACTTCCTTGACAAAAGTCTGGTGGTGGTGGAGTTTGTGGCTTTGCCACTGCTCTAGGGTCTGATCCTCCCTCGGTCCTGGGTCTCTGTTAATGACCCCTGAGTGGGGCAAGTCACATACTTAAGGTGGCCTGTAGCAAAGCGTTACCACCTGGGAGCCTCAGTTTCTTCATCTTAAAGCCTTCTTAGGTTCCCAATTACACCGAGTGAGAGATTTCCTGGCCAAACGCAGCAGAAACCTCCCTGACCCTGACTGACAGATACTTGCTCCAGAGCCAAGAAACAGTCTTGAGCTGGCCTCCTGCACTGAAGGAGATGATTTTTATTGGTTTCACTCTTCACACAGTGCTGACGGTGTAGTCCTGCAGAAAAGCAAGCTGACGAAAGTAAAGACTGCGTTGCCAGCTCGTGTTTGTCCTTATTTCCAAGGACAAACACAAACCCTGTCTCCGGGAGCTGCTGCTCTGCTCCAAGACAAATGAGCTGTTGAAGTGTCATGATTTAAAAATCCTGACAATATTCATAAAGGATATTTTACTGATCAACCTCAAGGAATCTGTCATAAATAAGAAATGATTTGTGATTTAAACACTGTTGCCTGTTTCAGCGCTTTGCCTCAGGGTCCGATGTTCTGATGTGTAAGACAGGCAGTGTTCCCTGAAGGAAAATGGCCCGGAACCTCCAGCACTTCTCTTCCCTATCTCCTCATCTCCTTGAAGTAGTCTACCAAGAGTATTCAGTCTTATTTCTTTTTTCTTTTTCTTTCTTTCTTTTCGTCACTGTATTCTGATGACCCGTTAATAACCCATCAATAGTGAGGAAGAGAGGGAAGGCAGGATGTAATCCCTGTTGCCCTTGCTTGTTGTCCTTCTTCCCTCTCTGGCCCCTCCCTCCGTCACTCCCTGCTTCTCCTTCACCATTTACCGCGTGTACTGCATGCCTGATGTACAGTGACCTCTAACCATCTTGGACAAAAAAAGATTGAAAAAGGTGTTTCTTGGGCTGAAAAGACATCTCCATAGTCTTTGGGTAAGCTAATTTTTGTTAAACTATTAAAAAATCATATTTAGTCTGAGTTCCGAAATCTAGGAACTTAAAAAAAAAAAAAGCAAAACTATTACACAAAAAGCTAGACTATACCACTCTCAATATACTATTCTCTTGCCGAAGTTCTAGTGAGGCTGGGGGTGGTGGGGAGGTAGGCTGGGGGAATACATACAATCTTAAAAGAACTGAAAAATTTCTCTATTAGTGTCTATTCTCATGCCTTAGCCATTTTCTTTACATGTTCATGTTTCCTCCTATAAAGCTCTACAGCCATCTTTTTCATGCTTCCTCCGTGTTCTATAAAGTTCTACAGTCTTTAAAAATTTTTTCTTAAAATTAGAATTGGGTGACTAGGCAATATAAATTTACATGGTTTAAAATTCAAAACAGTTCAAAAAGGTATACCCAGTGAAGTCTCCCTCTCCCCCTCTTTCCCTCCTGGGGGGCCCCTCAGCTCCCTGCCCTGGAGACAAGCACTGTCACAGATGGCTTAGCTCAGTGTCAAACATAGGAGAGTCCAAGTGTGAAGCCATGATTGCAACACCCGTGCAGAGCAATGGCAAGAACAAAGTGTGATGGACCCTTACCAGACGGCCCCAACAAGGGTCCTCCTGCCTGGTGTGGTTTAAGCGTTTAGAACCAGACAGAGTTCGGTTCAGAAACAAAGGAAAGCTTTATTCTGTAACCAGAAAACAGAGAGGTGAGTGCTCCCGCTCTAGAGCCCACGCCCTCCAGGACGGGCTGTGTCCGGCTGCTCGGTGGGGTCCTGGGGGGCGGGGCGGGGTGGGGGTGGGGTGGGGGTGTGGCTCAGCACAGCGCTCTCACAGGCCAGGCGCACGCGCAGCCGTGCTGGTCGCGCTCCGGATCACAGCGCCCGCCGCAGCATCTCTGCACACCGCCCGCCGCCGCCATCTTGAACTGCAGGGTCCTGTGCAGGGGGGCTTCTGCACAGGGTCCCCGAGCTGAGGTGTCAGCGCAGCCGTTTCCCGGTGGGAGCTCTGGTCTGAAGGGCCGGGGCCAGGGCCTCTGCCCGCGGCACCGTATGAGCAAGCGAACCTAGCCTAAGCACAAAGGACAAGGAAAAAAAAGGTTAGACTTTATTTATTACCCAGATTCTATTTTTATTTCCCGGGTACTGTTGATGGGCTTTGCCGATGACAAAAAGACCGGAAGTTAGAGGGTCCATTCCGGCCCTGTCGGGACAGCTCTGACTTCATCTGTGTCTATTTCGCACTGTTTACCTAGAAGTAATAATTTTTCCCTAGCTCTCTCCCTTGGAATGAGAGTCTGTTGAGATGCTACGTATGAATGCCTTTTGAAAGATTGCTCCTGTAAGGGAAGAGAAAACCCAGAGCCTAAAGCTAAACCCACCAGGCATGTTTGTCGTGGGAAGGAGTCGAATCGTCCAGGCTATTGTCCAAGAAAATCTTTCATTTGATTTCAAAGCTTCCAGTGAAGAGACGTGGAGAGGCCATTGGGCCCAACAGAGAAAGATAAAGGGTGGATTTATTTCCTGTCAGTTTTCAAATCCTTTCTTGAGCCCTCCCATCACCTAGGGGAAGCAGTGCCCTCTCTTAGGTGCAAAACTAAGCAAGGAATGCGACTCCTTTTCTAGCTGCCTGATCGGCCACCTTTGGGGTCAGCTGAGGCTTATGTCCTCGGGCTGCTTGATTCCTTTCTGATTTGCAGAGTGGTTTCCAACCGAAAAAAGATCTGGTTGAGGTTACTTTGAAAAAGGTGTGTGCTGGGAAAAAAGATGGACTGCTGTAGGGCTGTTTCTTCAGAATTGATGCCACGATCCGGCCTGAGGCAAAGCGTGCCCTTTACTGGAGAGGAGAAGCTGTGCTTCTGGAAGGAATGCAGGCTTGGTGTGCAATTGAACATGCATGTGTGAAGGGGAACTGGCCTGATAGCCGGGGCTGGAACCCTTGTTTATCCACAGGAGATAGGAAGCAGGGAGGGAGATAAGGCGGCCTTTGACTTGTGTGTGCCTGCACCTGGCCCTGGAAAGGCCCCGTCTAGTGCAGATAGCAGCTCGGGGTTGACGGCCCTCTGGGTTGACGGCCCACGGAGTCTTGTGTGGTGCCAAATAGAGAGCCCTGCAGCTTTGTGGATGAGACCAGGGTCCTCTGGTCAGTGAACTCGTGTCATTTTATCAAAGGAACTCTCATCTTATGCCCTTCATAGACTTTTGTTTTAAAGACACAGTTATTAATATGCAGGGACAATAACTGATAAACTTGTTTTTAGCATTAATTTTCCTTTGTAAATCAGCCTAAGCCAAGCCCTAGGTTGCAAGCCTTTACTGCCTCCTCTCTCCCTCTTTCTTCTCCATTCCTCTGTGGCAAGAAAGAAAGTTGACTTTACAGGCGACTAATCTGATGGTGTCTGTGGTGTCTTGACTTTCTAATGCTGGGAATTGAAGTCTTAATATCTTAGGTTATCTTGGAAGTTATTTATCTTTCACACATTAAGGAAAAATCAGAGACTTTTCAAAGAGAGTGTTTTGGCGAATTATTTTGGGATGGCTGGGTAGTGACACTGTTTCTGTTCATTCCTCCTTTAGGGGATCTCTGGAGAAGTGTGGGGTCCTCCACTGTTTGGAAGACATTTGGTGGCTTTTGGGTCAGTGTTGAATATAAATAAGAGTTCTAAACACTGTGCTCTTAGGAGAAATCATAGTGACCAGTGACCCAAACAGACTTGGTTAAAAAGTTGCTTAAAACGAGCAGACACCAGAAGCTTTATATAATGGGTTTGGTAATAACTTAAAATAGTCAAAATGCTTCTGCCCAGGCAGCCATGAGTCTTCAGGAAAAACACAGTAAATGTGTCATTTACACCATTGTCTTCAGTCAATCAAACCCACCATCTGTACGTGAGAGATGGTTTTAGCTTTTTGACAGCAATGGAACTCAAGGAACCTAGGTCAGGACTTAGCAGCCTAAGAGATTACCTCCTTATTGCCCCGGTTGTTTTCAGTGTCCTTCTACTATAGCATCTTTGCTAAAGGGCAGGTGAGGATTGAGAGGCTTAGCCGGGCACCTCCATCTTCCCAGTGGTATTTCAAAAAGATAAGGCCAGTGCAGATTATGGAGCTGGCTGGGTTTTATAACTGTACCTTGGACAGGTCTAGGAGCCTACCTTGGGTCTTGAGGTTATTCCCTTATATGCCTCTGGATGTATTAGGTCCTTGCACCTCTGCTCTCTACTGTCACCAGTCTGTCTCCCTATTGATGGCCAAAGATGTGGCAGGTAACGGCCCTACTACTATAAATTGGGCCAGTTACTAGATTTCTAAGTTTCTGTTCACCACGATTCTGGACCCAGAAAGATCTCAGAGGTGGTGCAAGTCAGTCGTATATCGCATGATTCAGGGTGTTCATCCTTACTCTCTCAGTGTATTTTGGACCAGGGATCAAGTGGCTAAAATGAGTGTCTATGACAGCTCTTATAAACAGAACAAAAACACCAATAGTAGGAAAAACAATGGTGGGTAGAAGGCAGAGGTTAGTGGGAGGAAATTCGATGAGCTGCAATATTGATGATAGTAATTATCGGTATTTACCAAATATTTAATAGGCTGACATTGTGGTAAGTGCATTTTTTAGAATATTTAATCTTCTTGGCCATTCTGTGGCCTAGAAATTATAGCCATTTCACAGATAAGAAAACTGAAATTCACAGAGACTAAATGAAGTGAGTGATTTAATGGGGAGTGATGTTAGAGGTGCGATGCGAACCTGCATCTGACTGATGAGATCTGTACCTTCGACTATTACACTCTGCTACCAATAGCTATTAGCTCTTGTCTCCTATGGACTGTAGGTTTCTCCCACAGAAGGCCTCTGGCCCACAGTTTTGGTGTTCTCAACACCTAATCATAGTGTCTGGTTGTATGGAATTAAATCCGCTTCTCAAGAAACTGTAAGGTCTCCATTGACATAGAACTGCATGTTGTCATGTCAAGACAGCTCTGAGAAGATATTCAGAAAATTTGTCTGGAGGAAAAGAAGGGGAAAATCATGGTCAATGGAAATGTGGGTGAGAACTGTTTCTGCTGGCCATGATGTTTTCATGAGCCTCTTCTCACTGGCCTTCTAGTGAGAATGAATGGACAAGGACCATCAAGAACCAGAGAAAGATTAAATAAACCCTATGGATTTATTTCAAATGCACTGTCACTTTTACTCTCCATGAAAAGGTCCTGTTTTCTTCTTCCTTTCTTCATGCCATAGACCCAACTGAGACCTGGTTGCAAGATTTTTATTATATTTTAAAAATTCAGAACTCCAGGTCAAGAACTCAAAAATTTAAAATTGAAGAATTGTTTTCCTCTTAGGGTTAGCTACTCTGTTACCTACAGGCTCTAAAAATAATGCTTTGTCTCAGAACCTGACTTCTGCTGTTTCTGTTTTACTTTTATCTTATCGCTGGCTCTCCAGCTCAAGCTGTCCACCAGGGGAAGTGAAATGCCAGAGAGGGTGTGTGTACTGCCCTCACCCTCCTCCAGGCAAGTAAGGCCAAGTGTGCTACAAGAACACTGTTGACTCTGTGTCTCTACAGAGAGAATAGGCCATTCACTCCATGCTCTGTCACTCAGTGCATCTGTGACAAGGTGCAGATAAAGGCACCTCACAGCACTCAGAGGGTCTGGGTTGGCCCTGCTCACAGGATGTGGCCAGTCACTGCCAGAGGTGAGGACAAGGCCTGGGCTCCGTCCAGAAGGCACATAATAGGTTCATTTCAAAGTCTCCCTTTATTCTGTTGATCGAGAAATAAATCCCCCAACTCTGATGACAGACAGTGCCCTGTTTTAAGGGCTGGTGGTAGGTCCTTATATTAGATTTCTGATTTGAGCGGTCTTTTGAGAATGCAACATAAACCACTCGTGGTCTGCTTTCAGATCAGAGGACAAACGCATTGTTGGTGTGGTCTCTGTACTCAGGGAAATGGGATCATTGATGTCAGTCTGTTTGGGTTCCTGTAACGGAATACCATCGGCCAGGTAGCTTTATGAACAACAGAAATTTATTTTTCATAGTTGTAGAAGCTGAGAAGTTCAGGGTCAGAGTGCTGGCAGATCCAGTGTCTGGTGAGAGCCCACTTCCTGGTTCATAGTTGGTTATCTTCTCATGTGTCCTCACATGCAGAAGGGACAAGGGAGCTTCTAGATGTCTTTTCTAAGGACACTAATTCCGTTTGTGAGGCTCCACCCTCATGACCTAAGCACCTCCCAAAGGCCCCACGTTCTAATCCCATCACATTAGGGGTTAGGATTTCAACATAGGAATCTGGGAGGGACACAAACATTCTGTCCATTGCACTCATATCAATGAAGTACGCAAGACTCATGTTTGTGGACTCATGTTTCCTACCCCACATCTTTCTGAAAGTGTCCAAAAGGTAAGTAGCCTCTTGGTACTGCCAGTGCTGGTGAGAGGTGCAGAGGCTGAATGAGGCACTGCATGATGTGAGAGGAGAATTACAGCCACGGGGGAGCTGCAAGGCAGGGAGAGGCTCAGCCCTTGGGTGCTTTGCTGTTATCACCCCGCAGCATTGTCAGCAATGCCTAGGGAGGTGGGTAAAGCTCAGGGGTAGAATACATGCTTAGCTAAACGCACCAGGTCCTGGGTTCAATCCCCAGCACCTCCACTTAAAAAAAGAAAGAAAGAAATGACTAATCTCAGACCCCATTCCAGACCTGCCAAGCCGGGACCTGCATCTTAACAAGATCCCCAAGAGATTTAGATGGACATTAAAATTTTATATGCAGTGTTCCAAACTCAAGACAAGTTTCCATTAATACCGCATATGTTGCAATTGTTGTCTACTAGCAGAGAAGACAGATGACTGACGTTATTAACATAGATCTTAAACTTTTGTTATCGAGGTTAATTATTAGTTTACTTAAACTAAAATGGCTTACTTTCTCTGAAGTCACTCATTGTGCATCAGTAAATAAGGCTGCTTCTATTTTTCACCCCCTGCATGCTTCACAGTTCTCAGAATGAACTAAGGATCAGATCAGTCAGTTCTTTTAGCCACTGATGACTGTAACCAGTTCCGTCTGGTACTTGAATATGATG